ACTTTGTTTTGAGAACGAGAGTGTTGGTCGCCCAATCGGCCTCGGTGCTGCGGAACCGACGAGACCACGGAGTGCCGAGAATGAAGTCGTACCCTGTCTCCATCACATCGAAATGTGCAGAGGAGCGGTGGCGGCGGGACGCCGGGGAACGATAAGTTGGCTCGAGAGTGAGAAAGAAAGGGAGGTCAGTGACCGTCTGATCGAAGAAGCGCTGGGTCTTGTCATCCCCTAGGGTAACGGAAATGGGAGTTGGAGACCCTGTCGTGGGTAAGCGAGCTTCTTTCACCACACGTGGGTGAATGAAGTCACCCTGAGAACCGGAATCCCACAACGCGGAGTACACCCTTGTGGAGGTCCCGAGTCGTACTGGGATGATCGGGAGGGTGCGATTAGGGTCAGAGAGGATGGCGAGAAGGTGCCGCAGTGCAACGACATGGAGGGTGAGTCGCTCCTGACGAGCCTGGAGCATGCTCAAGTCCAGAAGAGAGGACACAACGTCCTCGCGAGTAGCGAGCTGCTCGCTGCAACGGGCTGAGCGAATGGCTCGACGCGTCGGTAGTCGCGGCGGGGAAGGAGGGGAGACGGTGGTCTGCGGAGGCGTAGACGGTAGTGCGACAGAGGGCGGAGTACACTCTGCCGAGTCCTGCGATAGCTCAACTCCAGTAGCGAGAGGGGCGAACCACGACGGAGATGTCAGGAAGCCAGTATTGAGGAGGGCGCAGATGTACACTGCACCGTGGCTAGGAGGCGCCGCGGGGACGTGAGGCGCCGGGGGGGAACTGAGCACGACGCTGACGAGAAAGGTCAGCGTAGTGGCAGTCGAGGGCGGTAGTGTAAGGGCACCGCGAGGAGGTATGACCGTCCAATTAGCAGCGCAAACACCCACGCCGGCCCAGGATGGCCGCGCGCTCCTCAGGGGAAAGGACACCACGAGGAGGGACGAAGCCCTGAGGGAGGTCCTCCTGAGGGACCGCGGGGGGCGACGTGCCAGTGTGACCGGGGCGGCTGCGTGCCCGAGAGAGGGCGGAGAGCGCGAGCTGAAGGCGCTCAGCTGCAGGGAGGGTAGAGTCCTCCAAGTGATAGTGGACGGCCTCGCAGAGATCGAGGTCGTCGCTGTGGTCGCCCTCAGGTGAAAGTGGGGCAACAGCGTCCTGCTCACCATACTCCAGCGCGCTGAAGCGGCGCGAGAAGTGCGGCCCTGCTGCGTGGATTGGCGGGGGCGACCGCGGAAAGGGGAACGACGCTGGGAAGTGTCGTGAGAGGAGGAGGCGTGGCCCGTGCGCTGGGGCTGGGAGGAGGAGGCGGGGTGAAGACGGGCTTGCATCCGCTGATGGTCCCTCGCGGCCTCGTAAGCCTGTGGTGCCGATGTGAACTCGTACCGCCATAGCTCGGAGCGGTACTCGAGCGGGAGGCTGGCCAAGAAACGATCGATAAGGGCAGCCTCGGGAAGGAACGCCATGTCACAAACGAGGCGGGCGTACTGAAAGACCTGGATGTGGCGATCCAGGCCCGCAGCGCCACCAGAGCCGGACCAACGCGTAGTGACGACATGCTCGAAGGCGTCAGTCACGTCATATCGGGTTCCGAAGCGATCCTCGAGGAACGCATGGAAATCCATGAAGGTCGGAGTCCGACCCTCACGCAGGGAGTAAGCATAGAAATCCTCCCAGGCAGGGCGAGGGAAGCGACCTTGAATGGAAGGGAGAATAGAGGAAGAAGGGGGTGCACCGGAAGGCGCGGCCACCTATGAGGGTGGGGGTGGCTGAAGGCGTGAGAGGGCGAGGTCGCTCCGGAGCCAGGCAATCTCGTCCTCGAGACTTCGAACGTAGGTCGAGCGAGGTGTGGCAGGGGGAGACGCACGAGCGGCGCGAGGCATCCCACAAGGGGGAGAGCCAGATGGCACTGCGGTCGTGCGAAGAGGGGGGAGAAGTGGGGCACCCGGAAAAGTTGAGACCATGGTAGCGGGTTGTGGTCCCGTGGCCGTCGTGACCGGAATCTGGACGGGTGCGCCCGTGGACTGAGGGAGGGACTGACTCGTGGCGGTCGTCGTGCTAGGTGCGTGGACGGTCACCAAGATGGCCGGGTCGGGGGTAGCGGAGGAGGAAGCTCCACCGTGGCCACCCTGTCGGAAGGCGGGGGACCCGGACTGGGAGCGAGGAGAAGAGATAGGGTGAGGAGAGGAAGGACGACCAGCGTCCTGGAGTTGCCGCACGCCGGCGGCAAGGGTCGCCACCTGCGCCTGCAAGGGCGCGAGGGTCGCGAGTTACGCCTGGATGGGCGCCAGGAAGGAGGTGAGGAGGGTGTGCAGATCCCCTTGGGGTTGATGGCCCTGGTCCGCCGGCACGGGTGTGGAGCCCGATGCCGTGGTCATCGCCGTGTCGACGGCGTGTGACACACCGTCAGCCATGGGGAGATGACGGAGCGGACTGGAGGGAGCCAGAAGAGGTCCGCGTGAGCGGAGGGCGTAGGGGGAAGTTCACGGTAGAAAGCGGCGAACGGCGCTAGCAAGGCTAGC